ATCATTGCGAACATAAGAGCTTTTTGGTGGGTTTTGGTTCCAGACGAACTGAAGTTGTATTTTTGGTGTCAATTTTACATTTTGAATAACTTTAAAGATTGATATCGGCTCCTACTTGTGTGTTCTGAAAATTTGTGTGATTATTCGTCCATTTTTTAAATCAAATCACAGCTTCCGGCGATTGAGAAGGAAGTGTGATGGACAATTGAATGCTTCGAAAAAAATAATATTCTTGAATAACATACCAAAAATGGTGAGGCATCGGATGACAATAGATTCGAATCATCACTTCCTTCCTCTTCTTCGTACCCCGGAAGTGGCGAAGCTTCGGCTTCGAATGTGTCAGTCATGTTTTGGCTGATGAATGATAATTCAGCAGTTGCCAAGTGCACAATCGTGACAAGTAGCAAACAACACAACATTTGGCGAGTGGCTTTCATTATTGTGATGATGCTTCCTATATGATTATTCCCAACAAACTGAGTTTGATGAGCACGAGCTTATCGAAGGAAACTAAGGGGATTCCAGAATATTTGCAGGCAATTCTCATCGGGGTGTCAAAAATACTTTTGTGCTGAGGCTTTCGTGTGAAAGGATCAGGAATAGTGTATAGTTTTTCTTTGTTTTCATTTCCACGAATTGTTGAAAGGGTTCACGTGTGTATTTTGTTATCCACAACAGAGTAAATGTCATGAATGATGTTCTTTTTTCTTTTCTTTTGACGCGCTTTCTGCAGATGAACTTTTTTTTTTGCTAATAAACATACGCATTTATCTTTTGAATTGGCTTCTATACAGAGGAAAGAGAAGACATTTTTGTTTGCTAGATAAAGTTCCACACAGAAATTTAAAAATTGAATATATTTAGGAAAAAATGTAAAAATACACTATCAACTTCTGAATTCGACTTTTTATTTTAAATTTCAGGATTTGATAGCCGAACAATACTGCTATATGGAGGCATGTCACTTTTACATTGATTGAATTCACAGTATAGGTCAAACTTTCCTGAACACGTATTTTTTCTCACGGAAATCTCTGTTCAAGTTTATGTTTCCTTCTTGACGAGTCAATACTGCTATATGGAGGCATGTCACTTTTACATTGATTGAATTCACAGTATAGGTCAAACTTTCCTGAACACGTATTTTTTCTCACGGAAATCTCTGTTCAAGTTTATGTTTCCTTCTTGACGAGTTCTTCAAAATTCTATGAGAATGAACCCCGTTTTTTTTTAGCACAAAGAGTCTTGCATGAATCTTCTTTCTTCCAGCCATTCTTCAATTTTGACAGTAACCGGGAAAATGGCAGAGCAATCCGTAATTCAGGGCTCTGACAGAAGTGTTGTGATTCAGTCACCTAAAACTGTCCTTTCAATTGTATGACATTTACTTTAAATTTTAGCTTTTGAATTGTTAGCTCAATAAAACCCAGTCCATTGCAAAACCATCAACAAACCCGTAAAAATATCCAATTTTTCATGCAAATAAAATTCCTTAGTAACCGGAAGATCATAGTCCGTATTTTCAGATTTTCAACTGCAAAAAGTTGAAAACTTGCAAATTTCAGCGATGAACTTTGTCCTGTCA